ATGGGAGTTTCCGAAGATTAGGGGTTCCTTATTTTGGGGTCCTTATATTAAGGGTCCTACTACTGAGGGTACTATGTTAGGGTCCCCAATTTTCGGAAACCCCCCCATATATAAGGCTATAGGGCATAGGGTATAGAATGGTTTAGGGTTTAGGGCTTAGGCCTATAGGGCATAGGGTATAGAATGGTTTAGGGTTTAGGGTTTAGGGTTTAGGGTTTAGGGCTATAGTATAGGGCATTGGGTATAGAATGGTTTAAGGTTTAGGGTTTAGGGTTTGGTTTCGGGAACCTTGATTACCCCTAAAGCTCTTCAAGGAATGCTGACGGGCAGCTTGCACTGAGGCTGGATAGGGCCCAACAGGTCCTCGATGATCCTTGGCTGACTTCTGAACACCTCGTAAAGTTTAGACGCTTTGCCTTCAACCTTCAATATGATATAGACACACAAAACAGGAACCCAACCTGTTAAGCCCCAACCCTGTATAAGCCCTATAAATCCACAACCCTCAACCCTCAACCGAAAATTAAAAAACAGCCAAGGATCTTTGCCCTCGGGGTCATCGCCGCTTTGAAAGCAAGTTTGGAGTTCCTTCGAGCATTTCCCACTTTTGGGTCAGTCAGGGTTCAGGGTCTTGGGTTTGGGGAATTTTGGAGTTAGGGGTCCGGGTGTGGGATTTTAGGAATGACGGTTTAGGGTGCTACACTTTAAAAATTCTTTAGGGCTTAGGGCTTTAGGGCGTAAAGGGTTGAAGTCAGAGGAGTCAGGAGTATGGGCTTGGACAGGTTCGATACAACAGCAGGGGTGCCTGATATAGGGGCCTTAATGGATTAGAACCGGGCTTGAAAGTAGAGCATAGTGAAATCACGTATCGGGGTGCGACGAGGATACTGTTGCCCCCTAACCTCTAAGACCTAAACCCCTCAACCCTACACCCTATACCGACTGATGGGCTTTCTATGCACGTCTAGACAGGCCTGAGGCTGTTGGGTTTAGCCACAGGTCTTGCGAACGTTACTATATAGTCCGATGTCTATATTATGCTCACGGGGCTGTACTTTATTCATCGTCCTGGTCTCTGAAGGTTGATACTTAAGCTACTTCCGAGAGTAACCAATGCAGTTTCGGGAAAGAATTGACCCTCAATAACCATATGTATACTTTATCCTCTTCGGTTCCTTAGATACCCACCGAAAAGCACGAAGTACGGTCGATGATATAAATCCTGCATTCCCAGAATAAAGAATATACCATAATTTTGCATAGTTCTGAAGGTGATGCAGGATTAATTTATATCATCAACAGTATCGCCTACGCACATTTAGAACTCCAGAAATCCTTCAATCAGGCCCTCAAGCACTGCAACTGCACAAGCATGGCCTGGCTAAGTAGTACCAGATTGGCCACGGCAAACAAAAACCGTAAGCCTCAAACCCTACCCTAAACCCTAAACCCCCAACCAGTTCATAGGAACAGCAAATCGAGATCAGAAGCTTACGTTGGAGGTTCAGGAAGATGTATCCTATATAAGCCCCCAAAAAAACTAAGAACCCCTAAACCCTCTGCTCTAAACCCTAAACCATTAAATCCTTAAATCCCCAAAAAACTAAGAACCCAACGCCCCTCGAATCCTTGGCGCCCGGATCCCTGAAACTCTGAACTGGACATCCGGCTCAGGGTGTAAGGGGTTTGAGGTTCAGGGTTGAAGCTTTTCGGGTTAAGGGGTTTAGGTTTAGGGGTTTAGGGTTTAAGGTTCAGGGTTGAAGCTTTTAGGTTTTTGGGTTCAGGGTTTAGGAGTTTAGGGTTTGAGGTTCAGGGTTGAAGCTTTTCGGGTTTAGGGGTTGAGGGTTTAAGGTTCAGGGTTGAAGCTTTTAGGTTTTTGGGTTCAGGGCTTAGGAGTTTAGGGTTTAAGGTTTAGGGTTTAAGGCTTAATTAGGGTTTGGAGTTTAAGGGTTTAGGGTTTAAGGTTCAGGGCTTACTGTTCAGGGTTTAGGGTTCCTTTCTTTGGAACAGTTTTGCCCTGTCGATGTAGGGTTTAGTATAGGGCTTAGGGTTTAGTGTTGAGGGCCGCGGGGATTTGCTAATTGGATTCTCGGCCGAGTGGCAGGTGCGAATAGGCCCGGTAATCACCGTTTGGAGTTGTCGCGAGGCTGCATGGCGGCTCTAACCTCGGCGGTCGCTTCTGTCGAGAGTCCAGGGGTTTAGTATATGATTTAGGCGTTTAGGGGTTAAGGGGTTAGGGTATAGGATCAACAGCTAGAATCTGGCTTGTTGGGTTTGTTACATTTTAAATGGCTTACGGAATGCTGAGGAACAGTATTGGTATAGCTCCGGGCTCTCGGTGGTTTGTTCGCGGCCCTACAGGGGGTTGAGGGGTTTAAGGGTTTGGTGGTTTAGGGTTCGGGCATAGGATATGGGTTTGCATGGGTGCCGTACTGTTTTGGGGACCTAACAAGGGACCCTAGTTTAGAGAACTACCCATACACGCTTCAGGGTTGAGGGCTCAGGGCTTCTGTTCCAGACTTTGTGTTGAGGGTTTTCGGGTTGAGGGGATGAGTGCTCCCTGCAGGCGGTACCAGAGTGGACCAGCCATGGAAAAGAACCTTTGGGGTGATTTCTGGAGACTTTGGAGCAGCGAATGGGCTCTAGGTTCTCCATTAAACCCATAAGAGCAAGGGTAACCTTTTTCCCCTGTATCCGTTTCAGTAAGGAGACCTCAAAGTATAAAGTGCAAAAGGGTACTACCGGGGAACCTAGCACTAGCCCTGAACCCTAAAGCCTGGAACCTTGGCCATCAAGTCGTTAGGGCTCAGAAATCCGAAGTGAGAGGCCGGCATAGGCTCAATTCATGGGTTTAGGGTCTGGGGTTTAGGATAGGGTTTCGGGTTGAAGGGGCTGGGCGGGTTTTTAGATGGTAGCTTCAACGGTTACAAAGGTTACAAGCCTTGAGCAGGATTCCAAGAGAAGTAAGTAACACGGTCTGGTGTACCTTTCGCAACTTCTGGTATTTTCATGGCTCCTATTAGTTGTACTGCCATGCCCACGGGATGACGGCTTGAGAGAAGGCAAGTGAACAAGACTTCACCACTGCATTGGCCCTTCTGAATTCAGATACAGGTGCCTCTGCAAAACTGGATTCGCTGGGAGGGCAGGGAGATTGACACGGACTGCGACTGTGTTGCAGTCTCTGTTTGAGTTCATATTCTGCCAACGCTCTAAAGTCTGTTATCGCCTACACCGCTATAGGGCGGGAACTCAGAGACACCAATGACACATTGTTCTCGTATATACTGTAGGGGTATCAGGAGATATTAGAACTGACTCCCAGAAACAGGCCCTGAACCCCTGTAGATCCCTTGAAGGAGCCCTTAAAGGAACCCTAAACAAAAGGGGCGGGCTGGAATTTAGGTTTCCTACGTTTGGGGCTTTTATGATGCATCCTACGTTAGGGTGCACAATACCCAAACGTGGGAAATCTAGCCTCCATCCTTAAGAGTAGTGCATCGGGAATTCCAGCACGAATTGTCCTTGACGCGGTGTCCAAATTTGTTGGGGTTTACTTAACCCTAAACCCGAAACCCTAGACCCCAAACCGGTAGGGTTTCGGATGCCAGGATGGGGGGTCTTAAGGCCCAGGATTGAAAGGTTTTGGGCGTTTGGGGGTAGAGGTGGTTCAGGGTTTCGGGCGTGGGGCGGCTTATAAAGCTTTACAGGGTTTAAAAGTTTTTTGTTTTTTTTTTGGGGGGGGGTTCAGCACGTCCTTCGCAGAATGTACTTGGAGGATCATAGGACTGAGTAAGTATGGTTATAAGCACCTTAATTGGGAGTTATAAGTAGTTATAAGTATAGCTACCCTTAATAATAACTTTAGTTACCAAGTCCCATGATCCTTTCAGTAGCGACCCAGCACTTCAGGAGTCTAGTTGGCACACAGCAGAGCCGATCGAAAACTGCATCCTTGGGTCCAGACTGGAAGGCCCAAGATTCCATAAATTCCTAATCAACCCTAAACCCTAAACCCTAAACCACCTAGACCCCCCAATCACCCCCCCATCATACCCCAAATATCCACGATTAAGGACCACCCCCCAACCTAGACCCCCCAACCCCCCTCTATCACACCCCCAGCATCCACTATGAAGGACCATAAGGTCTCTATGAGAGGGCCCTTCGTGGGGTTGCTGGAAAACCCAAAGCCTAAATCCCAAACCCTTAAACGGCTTTCTGGGTGTTGTGCTGAGCCGCACATGCCAGACACCCTCTTGGGGAAGCTTCGAGAAATCGGCAGAGGGTGCTGGCGGCATCTCCTGCGAGCTTCTTTAGGGGTCAGTGTTTTGGGTTGAGGGTTTAGGGTTGGGTTTAGGGCTTGGGGTTTGTAGGGTCGAGCTGGGTATAGGGTTTAGGGTTTGCGGCTGGGTTTAGGTTTAGTTTAGGGTTGAGGGCTCACAGTTGGGGGCGCGGGGGGGAGTTTGTGGAGCAGTGTTTAGGATCTAGGACCTTGGGGTGTACACAGCCGCTGTTGTGTGATGGCTATTCTAAGAATGACAGATCCAAAACCACAGAAGGCAAGCAGGGTACTCCAGAAAGCCAGGTTCTCAATGACCCTACCGTAGTTTTGAGCTTGGTGCCCGCAATAAGAGAAGTAGGCACTCTGCACAAGAGGGTCGGGATACCACCAGATTCTAAGCCCCTCAACCCTAAACCCTACGGTAGACCCTAAACCCTAAAACCTAAACCCCTCAACCCTAAACCCTACGGTAGACCCATAAACCTAAACCCTTAACACAGAACCACCTGCCCGTGGTGCTTTCGCCGACTAACAGGCTCCCATACATCCCTAGCTCAGCATCAGCGTGAAGGTTACCCTACCCGAAGCCCCACCTTAAACGACCGAGACCCACCTTTTGAGTAGACGATGGTAGTTCACGAAAGACTAAGCCGGACACCCCGATCCGTTAAGGGCTGCGGGATTTGTTAGTCAGAATCTAAAACAGAAAAGTCCCCAAATCCGACATCCAACTGGGGTTAAAGGGGTTCAAGGTTACGGGCTTCGGGCTATAGGGTTTTTTTGGTCTCCGTGCTTAGGGGCCACACACCCGGTTAAACCCTCTCACGATTGCATCCCTTCTTTCCCCTAAACCCTAAACCCTAAACCCTAAACCCTAAGCCCCTAAACCCTAAACCCCCTCTCCTGCACAGTCGGAGGCGGCCCGGCAACAGAAGCAGGTTGGGAGGCCACAGATATGCCAGAAACACCTGGGACTGACGAGCTTCCGGCTATGGGTCTAGGGTCTAGGGTTTAGGGTCTAGGGTTTAGGGTTTGGGGATCCAGCGTTCAAGTCAATGAAGGGTGCGTGTCTACAAAGGTTTGGATACCGCTTTCTTCTTCATGAACTCAAACAGCGGAAACTCTTAGCGCATACCTGTAATCCTGAAAAGCTACCTTGTTCAGGAACTCTTTGTAGAAACCAGAAACCCCAAACATGTAGGTTTCGTGGCTACAGGTACGTGCCGTATCCAAATTATGGGCTTCTGCTTCGAATCGGGGACCGCTTTTAATTTGGCCGGTGCTGCGTGAGGGTCAGGGGATTTCGGACTGTGCTGTTCATGCTTCGGCGGTTTTGCCTAAAGCTTGGGGGTTTAGGATTTAGGGTTTGAGGTTTGGGGTGTCGGGATGAATTAATTTTTATAAGGTTCAGGATTCAAGATGGCTTCAGGTTTAAGGTTCAGGGTTCATGTATGACCCCGGACAGTCGATGACAAGCACTCATAGCAAGTACCTTGTATCTTCTCGAAGCCTAAAGCTCCATGCAACATCTTCTGAGTCTGAAACGCATGCTCAAGTCTATTTATCTCACAGCAAGTCCCGAGGCGTACGCCCTCGTCTCATAGTCCTTGCTGACCTCGTCACCCTCACCCCCCACAGGTAATCTTTTTAAAATGCATCGT